CAGCATAATGAAGCTACCATGTGTTTTTGTTCTTTGAATTAAATGGGTCTTATCTTGTCCTTGCAGGCTCAGTGGAGGATGTTTTCAACTATGAGGGCTTACCAGTGCCTCAGATATCATACCATTGTTGTCCAAGCACAATGGCGAATGAGGAGGGCGGCCTCCGCTTATGGGAAAATCTACTGGGCGACGACAGTCATTCAGAAGTACTCACGAGCATGGGCCATTTCAAAAAGAGACAGAGCACATCATCTCTTACTTAGGAGCGCTGTGGTAAAAATACAAAGAGGCTATAGAAGATGGAAAGCTCAGAAAATACAAAAGGAAAACTGTGCGGTCAGAGTGATACAAGCTGCTTTTAAGAAATGGTACGGAAGAAAAATGTCCCAAAGAACTGCCGCTGCTGTGAGAATCCAGTCCTGGTACAGGATGCAAAAGTGTCTCAATCAGTACAGAAAGATCAAGGGAAGTGCTTTCCTCATTCAGGCTCAGTACAGAGGCCTTGCACAGAGGCGCCGTTTTCTCACATTAAAACTGCAGCACCACTCAGCTGTTGTCATCCAGAGTGCCTTCAGAGGGCACGCTGTCAGAAAAGAAGTGTCGGAAATGAGGTGTGCTGCAGTCGTAATCCAGCGCTGGTGCAGAGCTTCCATGACAAGAGACGCGGAGAGGAAAAAGTTTGTCAGGATGAAACGCGCGGCTGTTACCATACAGGCAGCGTATCGTGGGAAAGTGGCTCGAGACTCTCTGAAAAAACAGGACAGGGCAGCAGCTGTGATCCAGGCAGCTTTTAGGAAGCACGCTGCCCGTAGGCGCTACCTGATCTTGAAAAGAGCTGCAGTTCTAATACAGCAAAAGTACAGAGCAACACTTTTGAGTCGCAAGACAAAGAATGAATATAACTCTCTGAGGGCCGCTGTGCTCACTGTGCAAGCTAACTGGAGAGGCAGAGTGGACAGGAAGAGGATAGAAAAGTGGCATCAGTGTGCATCTTTTATACAGGCTTGTTATCGTCGGCACAAAGTGCAAGCAGAGTACAGAGCCAAGAGGGCAGCAGCTGTGGTTCTACAGAGCCATTACAGAGCGTATTTGGCTGGAAGGCAGATGAGGAGAGGATACCTAGAAAAGAAAGCGGCATCCATTACTCTCCAAGCTGCATTCAGAGGGATGAGAGTTAGGGCAGAGTTGAAGAAAAAGCACCAGGCAGCGACTGTCATTCAGGCTTTAGCCAGGATGTTTTTATGTAGGAAACGTTATCTTCTGCTTCACAGTGCAGCGATTGTCATCCAGAGCCGATACAGAGCTCTTTTGCTGTGCAGGGTGCAGCTAAATGAATTCAGAAAACTTAAGCAGGCGACTGTTAAGATACAAGCTGTGTTTCGGGGATTTCGAGAAAGGCGGGACTTGAAGAGGCAACATAAAGCATCCAGAGCAATCCAAGCTCACTTCAGGATGCACAGAATGCGTGTGGCTTACCTTGCCCTTAAGTGTGCCTCCATCATTATTCAGGAAAGGTACAGGGCCAAACGGCTCATGGTTCAACAGATGCAGAGTTACAGAACAATGAAACATGCAGTCATAGTAATCCAAGCAGCATACCGTGGCCACAAGGCCAGGAGAAAGATTGCAAACATGCACCAAGCTGCTTCAGTCATTCAGAGAAAGTTTCTGGCCATCCGGGATAGAAAAAACTTCCTGGCTGTCAGAGTGGCAGTTTTGGCCTGTCAGCAGAGGTACAGAGCAGTAACCCTGGCAAGAAAAGCACGGCTGGACTATCTCTCAAAGAGAAGGGCAGTAGTTTGTTTACAAGCAGCTTACAGAGGATATGTAGTTCGAAAGCGGCTGTGTATTGAGCACATGGCAGCTGTAACAATTCAGTCTCAGTATAGAATGTACCAGCAGAAAAACAACTACAAGAGACTCTGCTGGGCAGCCACTGTATTGCAAACACGTTACAGAGCTAACAAAAAGATGAGAGCAGAGGTGCATGCCCTGAGTGTTAAGAAAAATGCAGCTGTTGTCTTACAAGCTGCCTTCCGTGGAATGAAATTAAGACAGATGATCAAACAAAAGCATCAAGCTGCCAGTGTTATCCAGAGAGCTTACAGAGCTCACTGCGAACACAGGGAGTATCTCACTCTGAAATCCTCTGTCCTGACTCTTCAGAGAAGATATCGAGCCTCTGTAGCAGCAAAGAAACAGTTGCAAACATATCAGAAACTGCACAGAGCTGCTGTTGTTCTTCAGGCAGCGTACAGAGGGCAGCAGGTCAGACAGGAAGTTGCTCATTGGCATCAAGCTGCTACTGTGATCCAGTCTGCCTTCAGAAAACACAGAGAAGTCGTCAAATTCCAGGCCATGCGTCTATCTGCCATCATCATCCAGAGACGTTATCAGGCTCATGTTCTTCAGAGGCAAGAAAGGGAAAACTTCCTAAGAATGAGACATTCTGCTGTGGTCCTACAAGCAGCTTTCAGAGGTCATCCTGTCAGGTCTGACATTGCCAAGATGCACAGAGCAGCTACTGTCATTCAAGCAAACTTCAGGAGATATAAACTTCAATCAGAGTTCAGGCGACAACGCTGGGCAACCTGTGTCTTACAGCAGAGGTTCAGAGCTCAAAGAACCAGAAACCTTGTGGTGAAACATTATCAAGAGGTTAGAAAAGCTGCCATCATTCTACAGGCTGCATATCGTGGAATGAAATCCAGACAGATGATCAAACAAAAGCATCAAGCTGCCAGTGTTATCCAGAGAACTTACAGAGCTCACTGCGAACACAGGGAGTATCTCACTCTGAAATCCTCTGTCCTGACTGTTCAGAGAAGATATCGAGCCTCTGTAGCAGCAAAGAAACAGTTGCAAACATATCAGAAACTGCGCAGAGCTGCTGTTGTTCTTCAGGCAG